TATAAAGGTGTTGGTGTTCGAATTCTAAGGCTTTCAGTCTAAGAGTTTCGTGCTTAGGATACTTCATGCCGCGAGTAACAGTGTTTTGCCAATTCGAATAAAAATCGGCACTAGCAGAGCAACCTTATACAAATGAAGCTGAGTATCATCGTGGAGGGTGGCATTGGGGCATTGTTTTGCACTGTGGTATTGCCCAAATATATCGATCATTGCAAAGGAATGTATCGCATATGTAAAGTTCTATGCACAATTTGAGCATAAGCAGCCATGTATACCACAAGAATACAGAATCACGTATGGACTCATCGAGCAATTATGTTATCAGCGTAGCTTATTGCTACTACCGGTTGCATGCCTGCGGTGTGGCCGATTTGACACACACAAATACAGAATTGCCATCAAACATAGCACACGGTTGATTTGCTTCCAACAAACCTGACTTGTATGCGCACTATACCTACATGTGGACATCGACAACTGGGAGATCTGTACACACAATTAAGATAAGACTTCCGTATACCCAATATGAATAACACCAGTCTTTTAAACGTCATTGTATTCAGTAAGTAGCAAGTACCATTTATTCTAACATGTGTAACTAAGACCATTCTGAAAGGATCCATACACTCACCTGTGATGAGCAGCCGACGCTTGCTGGTAAACTCCCTGAGCACTTTACTGAGTAAACTGTCTTCGTTCTTTATTCGATGCGCCTCGTCAATGATGATGTACTCCCATTTGAACTTGCGGATACTCGCCTTTTCTTTAATAGTCTGTTCGTACGAGCAGATGACAACGTCCCAATCGCCCTGCTCTCCGTTGCCCATGTTGTCCTAGACAAATAACGATACACTGTGCGTTAGTATACAAGCTAAACCACTTACGTTGAAATCGTAGGTATAACACGCCTTTTTTCTGAATGATTCCGTCCAACTGTACTGAAGAAGTGCATTCACGCCGCCGCGAAACAAAATGCAACACAATAGCTACACTAATATGACCATCCCTAGATGGTGTTGAAAACATACGCTTCAGAGAGGGCATTGTATTAGACATAGTGCAGTCAGAGTACTGATACATATACCTTGAACCAATGCCCAGTATACATAAAATGCACGCGAACAACAAAAGGATGTATAACAGTCAAATACCAAAGAAGGCATGTGCACAGCAGTCTTATATACACGCAAATGTGAGCGGCCACCAGTCGACCGCCACGCAGTAGAGTGGGATATATATATATATATATAAATGAGTGTGTGTATACTTTATATGATATCTACAAACCCCTTCAATGGTCATATAGTAGATTCAACGCCAACCGCTATACAAGCTGGAACTCGCTAGACTGCGTTCCGTCTTGATCTCAGCGCTCAGACACTCATTTCCATGCAATGATGCACTAAGTTGCCCTGAATAATATATTCCAGGGTCCGTTCGTCACATACTTGACTGCATACTTTCATATCCCAAAATTTTCACGACACTTATGCTCGATGATGCACAAATCGCTCGCCAACGTATGCTCGTGCACGCACTACAGCTATCGTACAAGGCTGCCACACACTACTAGATCACATCACACCACACTGACCACATCAAGTAGACAATGGAATAGGCGTGCACTAGCTGGCAACATGAAATAGGACTATGTTTTAGTACATATTAAAAAACCACGCCAGCGTGTGTATAAGTAAAAATCCATACCTTGACCGCTTGCTGGCGTGCTTCTTTGGCTCCGCCGATGCAGAATACATCAAGCGACGGCACCCAGCGTGCAAACTCGTTGACCCAATTCTGTGTGACATTGACGAAAGTTTAATAACAATGCAGTATGAGGCAACGGCCAAGATCTAGCATGGAGGCAGAAATGTCTTGGTACATGATGCGAGTTTCATCCTACATATACTTACTAGTAGCTGTATGGGATCAATATACGTTGAGAAAGTCAAAAATATCGACATTGTCATTCCGAGTGGCAAATCGAGTATAAAGGAAACGAAAGATCGGGCAGTTCGTGCCATAATTCAGTATATCAATTTCAGGTCTAGACTACACAACACATCAGCCGACTTATACATGTTAGCCAATCAATGACATACTCACGAGCTATACATAATCCACTGATTCGAAGGATTTGTGAAAATATCTATATCTATATCTATCTATATCTATATCTATCTATATCTATCTATATCTATATCTATATATATATAATATTGATAATATAAATATAGATATATAATATATATATATATATATATATATATATACCTGTATATACGTCCAAGAAAATTAACTTACACATCCGTAAAAGTGTATACACTCTGAAATATAGCTTGGATGCCCGTGTATCTCTATGTACATTTTGTGATACAGCACCAATATATACAACCTATAGCATATTCGTACATATGCGTGTACAGTATGGTATACATTCTAAATACCTGTGTACCTATATATACAACCTGTAGCATGCACTATATACATCCGTGTGCATATATATAACGCACACCTGTTGTGTGGAAAGGGGGACAATGACCAGAAACGGGCCTTTAACATGACGAAAGTTTTTCAGCCACCCCAACAAACTGATAGTCTGTAGTGTTTTACCGAGACCCATCTCGTCAGCCAATATACCACTGATACCGTTCTGGTACAGGGAAATCATCCAGTTGAGACCTCGAACTTGGTACTCACGCATGGTGCCCCCCTCAACGTAATTTGGGGACTCTGTGAAGATGAACACCTGCGGCAGTGATGTATATATACGTATATTAAATGTATGATGGCGGTTCAATCACGGACAGGCATGTGCAAATCGCACAAGCACCCTCGTATATCTCGAATGGATTTCATATGAAGTGGTTTATTAGCGCCTATGTCTGCTAAATATACGAAGCAATGTGGTCGCTCACATAAGAGTTCCAATTCAATTTCCGTCGGACAACCCATGCTATTCAACAAACTTGAGCTTGAATGCGCGAAAATTAAGGATAGACAGAAGCGAGCAGACCTTTCTACGAATGGACGTAATCAATCGATGCGCTTGTGAGGCGGGTCTACGGGCAATTCGATAGACGTGAAACAACCTAAATGTGCTCACGCGAACACTCAATTACACACGGCTTGCCCACATAAGATTCTTCGATGCACATATCTTTATCGATACATATGCAATACCCAGCCCGCATTCATACAATGGCATACAGAGAATGCATATCAACAGGAAAACTACATAAACACATGGGCACGTGTATAAATCGACAAATGTGCATGTATATATATAATCGTATCTCATATACCTCCTTCTCCTTTTGGTGCAATAGCTCTTCATCCTCCTCCGCCTCAGTTCTCCGATGTCTGCTATCGCCCGGGACAACATTGGCCTGCAATAGGAAACAGGAGAAACATATTTGACTTCTCATTTGTAACCGGCACCATCGGCACCCGCATATTGGAATTAATTGCAATAGCTGCCCATAGATATATATGTACCAACTTTTTTGAGCCCATATGGAGATACACCTTGACTCGCGATAGATACTCCGGCTATAGTGTTGCTTGTGTCCACCCTACGTCCACACTATGATATCTCCATAGTAGGTTTAGCCATCCTTAAATAGCTCTGTGAGAACTTCTCTCACAATCTTGACTGCCTAGGCACAATTGTATTTATGCCTCGAAACTGTTTCACAGTGTGCCACGGCAGGTGTTTTTTTAGCATGCCATTGAACTATGGTAAGCCACGAATTGCATTGTGCATATAAAGGTAGTAACCCCAGGGGCGGTGTGATATACTACCACCCAAACCGTTGGTGGGCTTCGTGTGCGAGCAATATAAATGAAGAACACAGGTTCAGAGCTATATATGATATAATAGAACATAATAATAATAAAATGAAATAATAAAATTTTAATATAATAATATAATATAATAATACAATAATACAATAATATAGAAGTATATATATATAGAAGTATATATATATATATATATATATATATATATATATATATATATATATATGTGTGTGTGTGTGTGTGTGTGTTCAATTATTAGACCATTGTGTTGGTGGCAGGAGAGACAGTCTGACAATCGTAAATGATGGCTAGTGAGCATTTCTCTAACGCCACAGCTACGTACAGCACACTAAGATAATACAAGTATGCCTCACAGAAAAGATCGATATGCTCATAGTACAACACGTGCAGAGCTAACGCGCTCTTATAGTGTACATAAAGATGGCACTTGACACAGCACATATAAATGCCATAGCTAGTTGTCTCCCCAGAATAACGAGCGCAGCCGTATGCATGAATAACCACCTTAAGTGGTTGATAGTATACGTCAATGCCCCTGCAATGCTATTCGAGTAGACAGATTATTAGAAAACCGATGCTCACCATGCCATGAACGTACAGCTGTGAAGCGAGAAGTAGCATCCATGTATGTGCCCTGTACGTACAGCGATACATCTGTGAATATTCTCAACTGCTACACCGCGCGAATGAAGTGTCGCATGCCCGTCAATACTAACCGCTTCTTGTCCAATAGCACACATTTTCCCTGCTCACAGATAAGCATTATCAAATACGGGCTTGACGGATAACACCTTGACAGATGTCGGACAGAAGCACACTATTCGTTACAAGAGGTGTATAGAATATACACGGCCACATCTCAAAAGTATACACCCAAGACTCATAAGTGTATACCTTAGACGGAGTGTTTATAAGCTCGCCATTCTTGCTCGCCTTTCTGAAGTGCGATACGTCCTTGCCTTGTTCGACGTACTGTGCGAAAGTCTCTGACTTGGCCAGCAACGCTTCGAATCTGCGGGCTTTCTCTTCCTCTGAAGTGGCCACAGCCACCTCGGGCTGTTGTCAAGTGGTGCGAATAAAGATATCTAGAGTCAGACAGAACATCGATGCAAATACAACTACGACCTAGATCGCTCGAAGATTGCTAGCCATTGTTAGTGCGTGCTCGTTCTCCTTCTAACGTGGGTACAGGCACAGAAACATCCGACCATTGTGACTAACTACATATGAAAATAAAGACGACGGATGATATACAAATATAGCCAAATGACACCGAGGTAATTAATGCCAATACCAGTCCCATAGATAAGCTATGCATTGTGCGTGCATGTTTGTTGATCTTCTGCTCTAACGTGGACACAGCCACATCAAGGTTTTTGTGGATTTGTGAAAATGAAGATTCATAGCGCCAAATGGGATATCAATGCAAATGTGCACCTGCCATTGACAGCTGGAAAGATAAACTAGCCATCGTGCATGCGTGCGTGCTAGTTCTCCTTCTGACGAGGGCATTGACATGTCAGGCTGTCATGTGCAGGCGTAGCGATGGGAGCGTCAACTACAACATCAATATTGTGACTTGACCGGCAATAGCATCTCAGACAAGCTAATCATGAGCTGTGTGTGGGCGCTTGCACTTCTACTAAAGGGAGTGTCGGAACTCCGAAGTACCATGTGAGTACAGATTACATCAATGTATGACAAATGTGTTTCATCAGTATACATTGATTGCCGATGAACTGGGTGTGCTTGCTTGTTGGTTTCCTCGCAAAAGAACTCATATAATAGCCGGGTGTGTGTGGTGTGAGTCTATATTATGCTGCACTCACGCCGTCAGAGAGCCCACGCAGGTGTTAGTGATAGCTTATAATATGAGAGATTTCTGCCATGTATGTATGGTGTAGGTTCAGATCTTGTCCGGAATGGCCAGTTTGTTGAGTGTGTATCTATTATGTGTTTGTTTGTGTTGTAACGTTTCGAGGTAGTATGTGTTTAGGTACTAAAGAATGCTCCCAATGGGCGAGTTATGCAGATATATTTGTTTGTATATATACTGCAAACCACTCCATATATCTTATATCGGTGAGTAGTGAGTTTCTGAGCCAGTCCCATTTGCCACCAAGTTTAAAACGAAGCGCGTGCGAATATACTAAAGCCTTCAAAAGACCATCGCCAACACACTTCTTCACTATTGATCACCATCACTATTATACTCTCGTTGTGGGAGGCGGTCAGGGAGTGCAGTTTGATTTCTTTCATGCCCAATTGATAGCAATTGCCTCATGCTGGTACATCTTGATACAATAACATTTCATATGATCACATTTTAAGAACCGAATCCAGCACCAGCAATGTGAACGGTTCAATTATGACTGCCACTTGTTGTATGTCTCGCGGGTATCAGAAAAGACTGGGGTCTGAGGTCTGATCTATGGTCATTTGATGGTGTATATTTAACCTTTCCTGCTCAACCAGTTTGCGAACACTAGCACGCACATGCCTGAAGGTCTCGAGGGCAGCACAGACGAACTACCGGAACAGAATTCAATTGAGCGAGCAGTAATATTGGTACACTAGGACTGGGATACAGATGAACACCTATTTATATAGCTGAGACATGATTGACATGCAGTGTAATTCGCGATAATTTTGTCAAACGCGTGCGAGGTGGGATCTAAACACAATACAAACAAGAAACAACTGTTCGTGAGGAAGCGAATGATATGCCACAACAAGAGGTACACATCCCTCCAAGAACTATACTATTAAATTTCAAAAAAAAACAGCGCCTATTGGCATTTCTCAATGTTTTCAGCAGCGCTATAGACTTTGTGTCACTAGGAATCCATGCCCCGTGTGTGACTAGAATTGAAACTGTCCTAATTCTACAGGCTGAAATGCATATTATAATGGTGCACAACTTGTCAAAGCAACATATACCAGCTCAGATATGTGTGCTTTAGTATCTATTTGTGTATAAAAATACATACATACCGACTTAGATCCTTCAGAAGGTTCAGGTGAAGGCTGCATGCTGTTGTCTTCGTTGACAGAGGCCGCAGCTGACGGCTGTTCATCCGTAGCACTCATTACGTAAAGCTTCGCTTGATGCGGTCGTGTGCACGATAGTACACCTGTACGATCTGGTATATATTCCCGGGAGATCACCTTACTAGGGTGCGATGCACGTGGGTATACTAGGTACTACTAAGTACCAACTATGCATTAACCTTGCCACTACACTACCGTGTTGAAAACATTTAGGAGTCCACTACATTCAATATATTTTACACCCAAACAGAAAGTCATGCCAGACGAAATGGCGCGCGTTTTTGAAAACTCGGTGTATGTAAGAATAACGATGGCTTGTTTTCTCATAGACTTGGTAGAGAAAACTTATTCCGTCACTCACAAGAGGTAGACGCCAATTATTCGGATATGATTGGATTGTTCCACTGCAGCCGGCTTTTTAGATCTACATCATTGATGTATTTAAATATTTCCGATACACCTCGTTGCAAGAAATACCTATGTACGTACATACAATCAGCCTCATAATACATGCTTATCAGTAAACAACCCCGCACAACACACTGGTGTATACGGATAGAAAACGTACGTGTTTATAACAATACACTAACAATATAACAATGAATAACTTACAACACGTCCCGATGGGCGCAGGTCAAGCTGTTGCTAATGGTGTTGCGAATGGTGCAGGCCAGGCGGGTGGTGCCGTAGTGCAACAGGGAGGGGCTGCTGTGCAGGCTGTGCAACCTGTGAGCATTGAATGGGATTTCACACTACAGCTGGGTGGATTCTGCTTGCTTATGGGCACGACGTTTGGATTTCTGGGAGGATACAGAGTACGTGTAGTGGGTTGTATGTTTAGTATGATTGCGTATTCTAAATATAGTGTAGGGAAGTTGTAGTGTGTCGCAGCTGAATACGGTCTCACACTTCAGTTGATTGGGTTCTGCTTGTTTGTGGGCACAGCCATCGTATTCATGGGAGATTATACAGTGTGTTTAATAGGCTAAATGTGTATTTTGTGTATCATATATATTATGCGTGTGAACTGAGTGATGTATAAGACAATATGTGTTGATTTTCAGGTTGCATTCGGGCTGTCTATGATAGATAGATTGTGAATTTGCAACTAGTGGTACATCGCCTTGTATATCTCGTGCGGTATCCTGTATTCCCAGTGGGCTTGGAATAAGAATAGACATTCCATTAGGAAGAATTAGGTTCCTCCTTTGACACTGCACAACTGAGTCGTAGACTAGGCAAGGTGTGTATATGATTTTGACCTGTTACTTTTTGTGCATTAGGTACTCGTGTGGGGCTGTATCAAGCACGGTGTTATGCAGTGGTATGTGTCACCCTGGCACAGTAGTTTCTATTTATTTACACGCACTCCTTGATAGACTTTCTTACCATGACTTCTGTACTCTTTTACTAGGCAAGGTGTGTATATGATTTTGACCTGTTACTTTTTGTGCATTAGGTACTCGTGTGGGGCTGTATCAAGCACGGTGTTATGCAGTGGTATGTGTCACCCTGGCACAGTAGTTTCTATTTATTTACACGCACTCCTTGATAGACTTTCTTACCATGACTTCTGTACTCTTTTGAGTAGCCTATGGTCAGCCAAGTGTGATACTCGCCTACTGTCACTTTATGAAACCATATCAAATGAGCGCGAGAAACCTGCTTGTGTGTGGTGTGTGTCTTCCACGATGCTAAAGTGCATATTCTTTGAATATCTGCCTAAAGCACTTCGCAAGTATTCGGCGTGGACGAACGCAGAGCGTACAGTTATTGCAATACAAATTGGGTATTTGTACTTGCGCTATTGGGGTTGTTTTCGTAGCGGGATTCGCGTGTTTATGCCGATACAGGTTCGTGTGTTAGTGTTCGTACTCTATGTGTGACACCGCTGCGTGAGGCATTTGTTAGATCAAGTGTGTTGAGCATCTCAATGCAACATGTATTCCTCGAATCTGGGATCGGTGGGTTGGTTGTGTTTATGGTTTCTTGAATATTGATATGCATCCATACCATGGACTAGTGGCGGCAGGAACGAATTTTAATATCAAAAAGCTGACAAATCACTTCTAAATCACTTCCTGGCGTACGGGGATGTCTGTGTATATATCCTATGCACGTGCCGTTAAACCCTGGAGATAGTATTTTGCAGGGGTTCACCGAGTATAAGTGCACCTCTACGTGGGGTTTGAGAGGGCAGATGGAATTTGCATAGTTAGTTGAAAAACTTCCGCCAACATTGCTCTGAAAGCGGGATAGGGGAAACCTTAGAAATAGGCTGCACAGTTATGTTAGATGAGCGGGGATTCTGTACCGCAAAGCCTTGCTGGCTGAATATACGTATGAATGCGATTGCAGTACAGGATCTGTGGGCGGGTGTGAGTGTATCAATATATGTATGTTAGTGAAGCAATTTACACACAGTATGTTTTGCTTTAAAATATGCCTGTTAGTCTCTATTTGATCCACGTACAAACTCGAGACCATTCAAGACGAACAGTCTTTATCAAAGGGTCAAGAGCACATATCCCAAGTTGAACGAATGGAAGCGAATAAGGATCGCCTATGTTCGATACATGATCGATACATGAACAACCGCTTGTCGTGAATTGAACCGAACATCCTAGATACAGCCTGAGATATAGTCGCGTGTGAATGTAGGTATATTGGACGACGAGATATTCAGTTGTAGACTCGTGTGCCAATGTAGTCGCCTAACGTAGGCCTCTATGTGAGTGACTGCGAGCGTACTCAGATCTACGGCCGTGTTTGTTCGTGGACCCTCAAATTACATGAATACCAGCTTTTACACCACATAATACGATATAATATACCTTATTAATACAATTTCGCACTACGCTTCGCTGATATCTATCGTTAGTGCGTGCTCGTGAGGCCAAGATTACTATTTCGTACCTATTCGTCCGTGTTCATCTTACCCTTGTTCCACAGCGCGACTACTCATTCGACGTTGCTGCATATGCGATTCTAATCGTGAATTGTCAATTCTTCCAACCGATACAGGTGGCAACGATGATGTTCGCCACAAACGAGCAAGAAAAGGTATGCCGATGCACACCCGCAGTATCTCCTGTCGTAGTGTCGTTGCCATACTCGTCATTTTCAACTAATACACTTTACTGTTATCTCTGTTATCTTCTCGTTGCCACTTGACGCATACACGGTGGCACTTTTTTTTTTCTAGTTTAACGACAACTTTTGCCGATCATGTAGTATTTATTCAGATTTGGATGGAGAATTTTGGGGAGGGGGGGAGGTTGTACTATGCACGATGACCTGGTCGTTTAGTGTTGTACTTTTGTTCAGAAGAGTGTGCTGTTTTGCAATGGTTGCGGTTCCAGGATGCACAGGAACGCACATGGATTGTCGCACTATGTCGCTGCAATACGCTGTGTTGACATGGATAAATTTGATGATGGGTGGCGTATTTTCTGTACGTGTATTGTCATTTTTTTTGTAGCCCTGTCCATTCCAAATGTGCACGCGTAGTTAATAAGCTGGTGTATATACCAACGTACGACCCCAGCCTGGCACACACTATTAGAATGCACACGTATATCTCCATATCTTAGATTCAAAAATCAATGCGTGTAGAGTCGTCCGAATGTGAATAACGACCTAGAACGCCAGCAGCGCAAACTATCCAATTCTTGGAGGCTGAAGTGCTAATAATTCTTTGTTTTTTTTTTGCCCACGACAGAAAGTTTGGACGATTATCAAGCAGACGGCCTTTGCCGCTGGGACTGTCATTCTGTTGACCGGCGCTGTGGTGACCAGGTTCAAAAGGCCTGGTGCAGTTTAAGTGATAACATGCACATACATAGATTTTAAATGTAGATTTGAAGCAATAATGGAAGGACTTCGGGTGAAATGAAACTGGATTGCGCTGATGTTATGCAATTTGCTAGACATACACAAACCTCGGCTATTAAAGGGAATTAGTATGGACTAGCAAACTCATTAAGACTGGCACTATTCGACGTTGCCAGACAACGACAGGTGGTTTGGGTGCACTCCGAATAGCAGAGTAGATTTAGAATACTCACCAAAGGGTTGCTGGGGTTCGTAAGCACGGGTTTGGGAATGGTGAATTGGTGGTCGACAATAAGGTTTTTTTGCGAGTACTTCAGGGGACTGCTATACCCCCTTTGGTGTTTAAACCCGATTCTCATTTCTGGTTTGTTTGTGTAACCGCGTATTTTCCGCTGTCAGTCTGCGTTCATAGTGGTGCATACAGCTTTGAATTTGTCACAATACACTTCCGATATATTTAGTTACCTTCTTACATTTACAGCCACTTTTTTTTTAACTTATATTCGCTTTCGATGCCCGTATTAAACTAATTTCTAAAAGAGAATAACCCAGTTTAAATATAGACATTGCACAGAAAATGTCAACGTGCTGACTGCAAAATTCTTGTCATACAATTGTGAGACCATTGTACAAGTCAAAAGTAATCTACAACGTTTTTAAAGTCGTGCATAGTGATCTACGATCTGGATTGTATGGCCCTCCAGATATAAACCGTCGTGCGATGTTTTACTGTTGCTCAGATCTGAATTATATGGCATTTCTAGATTTGAATGGCCTTGCAATATTACGATGTCCGATACAACATCCTCTTCGGCTATGCTGGGAGTGTATCCCCCATAAGAGGGCTCACGTTCCGTCGGCATCGGCTTGCTTTCACCATCGAAAGTCCTGATGTACGGTTAATGATTTTTCAATCATTCTACAACATCGATCCTACATTTCGATTCGAGTAAAGTATAAATGCCATTTATATTCAATCTGCAGTCGCCGATCAGAAACTTCGTGTCTGTATCAATTGAGAACAAAAAAGTTTTATAACTATTGTGTTCTTGTTGCAGAGTATTTTTACAGCATTTGCGGTCGGGAGAACAGAAAAAAACAAACATTCTTCTGGAAAGTCGGGGGTTAAAATGCATGTACAATTAACCTCGAAGCCTTTCATGACGTATCGAACTCTCGTACACCGGCCAAAATGAGATGCAATATCAGTGATCTCAATTTGAACCACACGACAACAGTTCGACAAAGACCGTGGGTGAGTATGGGTGAGCTCGCTGTGGTAGTCATCCGCACGGATTGCCGTCACAACTTGAATTTATGCGACTCATCAAATGGAAGACCATATTGCATCGTGCGCACATGTGGTACCTCATACTTGCACTGAATATGTCTTGCCGGGCGAAATACGTACAATCTTATCCAAAAGGGCTGCATACACTATCATTGTGGCACGGTACAAACCTGGTAGTATCTTAGGATTGGATCTTTATCACAACAGCAGATATTATACTGTAGATCACATATGAAAACTAATGCATCGGATAGACCATGCACGTAGGAGTTGCGTGATAGGTACCTTAGGTGCTCCTCGTGCAGCCCGGAATCCGCCGATTATTTGTATCTAATCATTGCAGAACGGTCTCCACGTAATTAAGTAAACTAATCAGCTCTCTTACCCACTTTTGAAATGTCGATCCTACATTGCGAGCGCCAACACAAACGCTAGGTGCAACCAACTGTCGATGTCTCATGAAAATACAGTCCACCCGATTTTTATTACAATACTAGAATTTGCCAATGGCCGATATCCTCTATCGCTGGGGATCGGTCTGCTGGTATCCCAAAGCGATCTGAGTTTCGCTTTCTCGCGCTGCATGTTCGTATTTAAAGCTCCAGCGGCAACATCGCCTATCGAATCAACAATGCAGTTTATATGCATGCCCGTTGGGATTTTTATGTCACTGCTCTACGAGATCGTGTATGCGATGCACCCCAATTGCAGTGTTAGGCTGAGAAGCTGTTGGCTGTATTGTATCTGTGCGGGGCAGCTTGCAGGTGTGTGTTGAGCTATTTGCGCCGTAGGAGGATTCGGATTCAGAACCGGCAGTATATACGAGCCGCTTTGCTGTTCATGTCAGCCGAGTGTTTTTGCTTCAACTGAAGTGGGGCCCAGGGCCCTACCCTGTCGTCACCCTCAGAGCTTCTCTCTGAGACGTTCATCGCTAATAACATCCCTGTTCGACACAAGTGCAGCTGAGTGCTATTTAATCTCATCAGCGCCAGCCTCGCACCCATGACATATGCACTGTATCAGAGTGGCACTCTCGGTCGTGAGTGGAGAAGCCGCTTTTGATAGACCGATAGTCTGACCCCGCGTGCTCCCACATCCACTGGCAGAAGTCGTCTGATCGGGACATTGTTGGCCCACTCATCTGTGTAAGGTTTGCTACACCTACTATCCACAAAGCAGTCGAACATTTACCTGCCTGATTGCGTTCGTGAGCCTCTCAGTACAGTTTGCCGGATTGTATTTTTTTTTCTTCGAATCCAGCTTCTGGTCGACCCCCAGGACACTGTTTCGACCGTTTCGAGAGCTTGTGTATCGATGCCTGCATATTTACATGATTTATACCTATATTGATAAAGAAGGATAAAGAAGTGATCGACTCAGTATTTTAGGTGACTGCAGGATTGATCGTAATGTAGTTTACAACATAACAATGTTTGATGCTTTGATCTTTCCGATAAGATGGAATATCTCAGAGTCGACTTAAAAGTGTGTCAGTGAATGTACGTTCAGCAGGGCCACATCAATGGTAACAATAAGACGGTTATACCCTCACTTTCCATCATACACCATGGGTAAAGACAAGCGATATACAGTCACCTTCCCACATGCGTCTATCAGTGCTACCATAATCGATCTTCACACCATTACACATGGCCCTACCTCGTGTATAGTAGGCATATTCTCCGAGGCATCTGGTTTGTATCCGAGCAGAATGTAGGCAACCTTGACACCCGCGCATGACCGAACCCATTCGTACAGCCATTTCAGCAACGGCATATACGATGCCAGATTAATGCCCACGAATGCAATCAGAACTGCAGATTGAAATAAAGCATACATTCGGCTTGTGGGTGACGAGATGTATCCCGAATGTAAGATACTGACCATTCAAACCAATCGATATGTTGTGCACATATTCAGAGGGTTACATTGTGAACAGAGTAAAAAATTTGTATACGATCAAATTGAGCCAAAAACTAAAGTAGCAAATAAGACGATGATGCATCGCCTTACCTAAGCCCATGCCAAGCATAAATCCAGAATCAATTTCTACATTTCCCCAGAGATAGTCCACCATGACCGCAGTTGGTATCGTCAGACTCAGCCCTGTGATGCAAGGTGCAGATGATAAAAGATACGCCAGCCCTGAGTCTCGTGTAGTCCCACAACCCAGTTAAACTCTTTTACATCAGCTCTGAATATCTGTGCGGACAAGCTCAAACTAGAAATATACAGAGACAGACCCAACATCCCAGTGAGATAGGATGTTGACCTATATGTGCACACACTTGAGAGCTCTCAGAAGCCATGACAGTATCACTCAGTGGGAAAAATATCAATATCGTGAGGAAAGCTACACGATTGTTACAGTAAAAAATACTTCCTGTATACCGAGGCTCTCCAGGTGGTGGTGCCCGTGTATGCATGCACTCTCATGTGATTACAAATTCATATTGTCTCGAATATATATATATATATATATATATATATATATATATATATATATATATATATATATATATATATATATGTACTATATACATATATATATATATATATGTACTATATACATATATATATATATATATTAATATATATATATATATATATATATATATATATATATATATAGTATTTATATTTATATATATATATATTTACATAGAAACATATATATATATATATATATATATATATATATATATATATATATATATGTGTGTGTGTGTGTGTGTGTGTGTGTGTGTGTGTGTGTATGTGTGTATGTGTATAAGTAAATGAAATATAGTATGAATCTTTATGTAGCTTACCTAGAGTAGCGACCAAAGGCGACGTAAGAAGAGTAGAATATATCCAGAGATAATCGGACAGGACTGTGCCAACGATTGCATTCAGACAGAGATACATAAACGGTCTGGCTGCAGATGGGATGGGGAAATATAGTGGGGGTCAGGAGCTGCTGATGGTTCGCGATTGTGCCGTATTCTTTATCGGTGTATGACTGGATGTGCTCTGAATCATGCACTATTATATATAACACGGCCGATACGACTGACACGAACGATAAAAACAAATTCGTCGAGGTTTGGAAAAATACTACCGAAATTATAAGCGGCTTACAGAGTTCCATGCTACTATATGAATACTGAGTGATACTCGCACATTCCTGTAGTGGAAGGTATACTGATACGCATAGATATATACATCCGTGCTTGAATGTATTCGATACAACGAACACCACTGAAGTGATGAGCTGAACAAGCCACTTCACAGCAGATCAATTCATGTTTTACATGCCATAGACTATTTGACATCTTTCTCTGGCCAATCAGCCCCACCAGCACAGGGGTACTGGAAAGATGCACAGAAGAATCGCAGCCGTCACATGGGCAAGACTAACTTAGTACTCACCTGCCACTACCACGATACGGTCGACCTGATTCACAAAAATTAGATAATCGCATGTATATATATATATATATATATATATAGTAGAGCTCACCTGCTGGCCAAACAAAAGCCTCCGAACTGAGTATCTGCATCACAATGCACACTGGCGAGAGCAACACGATGTTACACAACCCCACGAATCCAAAGAACATCATCATGTTGCACCGTTCCTCATTGCCGATCTTTTTCTGCCGTGTCGCCGCGCCGTATTATAGAAAGGATGTACAATGAGTGTGTGATAACTGACAGGATATGTAGAGTATGTGAGAAGATCCGGTATGGTGAATAAAATGAATGAACATCTCTCTTCTTTGCTGTTAAAAAAAGTGTGTGTGAGTGAGTGGAAGTGTTCCGGAATGTATGAATGGCTATGGTCTGCTGTGTCAATAAGTATCTGCAGTATATGTGTAGTAGAGTCTACGGGCGTTGCCTTTGCATATGTGCTAACATTGATACTCGATTAAACAGATGTATACTTGATTAGAATAGCTCAAACATGTGCATAAACAGTGCTGAACGTTATTATACTCCATATACATTGATGATTGTAAATAAGGTCGCACATAAAAATGAACTACTCTATCTACTTCTAGATTGAAAGATATTTATGTATTTTGCTTAGTATACCTGTATGAATGGAGTAGAAAATCAGCTCGACCCAAGAAACCTTGATAGCCACCGTGGATGGCCGCACGAGAGCACAGTGAAGTTTGTTAGAATTTATATGTGCGCAGGCATGTCACTCAGATTCTCGGGTACGTAGTAACGAAATCTACCTACCTCCAGAAACACTAAATAGGCGCCGTAAAAGGCGGCACTTATGAGCGCGATAACGTCCCCCTGTAGCTTGCGCTGGCCTCCCATGTCTTCGCTCTTGTGGGTGTCGGAAAGACTCACAAAGCCCACACCACACACGGACATGAGAATGAGAAGACCTTTGAACACGGAGAAGCTGCCGAGTTTAGTTTAACAAAAATTAGAAGTGCGAATCTGAGAACACGAATGTCTCCGCACAGACTAAAGCTGCAGCGTGCACTAGAGATACGGTAATGCAAAAATGATAATCACAAGGTCTTTAAAAACAGCGAAGCGTGTCCGAGATGGTTGCCGAGATATCATGGACGTGAAAATAAGCGGGCTCTGACAAATGGACGCTATAAAAGTACTGTACTATAGCATACCCGCTGCTATCCGAGTCAGTTCTTGGTAGCATCTGCTCAAACATCATTGTGAAGAACCCAGATGTCGAGGATATGATTGTGACAGCCGCCACAGAGGTCAGATTGATTGACAGGTTGAAAGTATAGTTGGCAGCGAACCAGAGCAGACAGAAGATCACAGCTGTATGCAGTGTCTGTTGCGGTACAGAGGAAAAAGAAGAGCGTTGTACACATACAACCCACAGAATGTGTTCATTAGACATGTATGATGTACAGACAAATGCGTGAGGCTTGTGTTGAAGAAGGTGGCAATGCTGGCGGCCGCCCGCTGTATGAATCGACCCGGTATGAAATATGTCTAAACTCGATTTAAAAAATGGCAGTAGAGCGAAGGCAAAAAAGTAATTCATACATACATGCCTACATATGCGTGTATGCATGTACATGAGCGTCAGTGATTGGACTCAACGATGTCATGAAATATATAT